TGAGAGTATCGATACTTTACGGTTACTATTTGAGTTACAGACATTTGTTAGGTTATATATTTGTGAGTCTAATTTATTATGCTGGCAAACTATTTATTTTGGAGAAAGGTTGTATAAGGTGTCAACCTTATACTATAGATGTAAGGTGCACCTCAAAAAACTTACGAGATGATGTTGTTCCAACATCGAGCAACCCTCTAATTTTTCATCTTGACCTCAAGATTATGGATGTGAAAAAGAAAAAAAGAAAATTTCAAATCCTAGAAATAGTGCATTTTGTGATACATAATCTGGACCTTCCATTTTCAAGATTTTCAATTATTCATAGATCTGCCCAATTTTTAATACTATTTTTTACAGCTTTAAACTTCACAATTAGGGACAAAAATAGATTTTGGGCCGTCAAAAGGATTTTCGGCCATAGTTACGAGAACCTTGGGGTTAAGGCCGTGGTCCCACCTTAGGAACTTGATCATGCGATTCCTCTTAGGAATCTTAGAGGGAACTGGGTTTAGAGAAATAGGAATCTCGCTCCCAATAAAATGGGATCTCGGCACACATGCTTGTAGGATCCCTCCAAGGAAATGAGCTATGATATTAGTTGAATTACTGGTTCTTTCCTTGTCCTTGTTATTACAGATGTATTTCTTTAGAATATGTTAAGCTCAGGTGCATATCAAATTGTGGCATACTAGAATTGTGTTATTGAAAACATACAATTTAATATGATAGTAATCCAATTTATGATATCATTAAATTGTGTTGTAGTAAATTGGAGTACGGCATTGGTAATAAGCTAAGGTGTATGATAATGGATCTTGTAGACATTGGGTCGATCTTAATTTTATCGTATGCTTGTAAATGATCTCGTTTTATATGTAGTGATCTCGTTTTATATGTAGTGGAGCTTACTTCCCTCCAAATCAAGACCTCGATCCTAGTGACATGAGATCTCGCTTCTAGGTATCCTAGGATCTAGTTTCTTAACTTGTTGAATGTATAGAAATATGGACGTTGATTCTAACCCTAGGGAGTCCGGCACCTTCCTTCAACAAGTATGTTTTTGACACTAAAACGACATCTTCGGCACCATTAGAAGGTTCATCTTACTTGGATTGTTTAAGGCGTCAATCTTATACAAACGTTTTATATGTAGTGGAGCTTACTTTCCTCCAAATCAAGACCTCGATCCTAGTGACATGAGATCTCGCTTCTAGGTATCCTAGGATCTAGTTTCTTAACTTGTTGAATGTATAGAAATATGGACGCTGATTCTAACCCTAGGGAGTCCGGCACCTTCCTTCAACAAGTATGTTTTTGACACTAAAACGACATCTTCGGCACCATTAGAAGGTTCATCTTACTTGGATTGTTTAAGGCGTCAATCTTATACAAACCGCACCCATAAAGTTTTTGAATACCACAGCTATTAATTACTCAAATGGGTGGATCAGCCAATAGGGCCAACATGCACGTGCACATCTAATTTTCTTTTTTTGTTTTGTTTGGGGGGTGGGGACGGTGGGTTGGGGGGGACGTTTTTCCCAAGTTATCAATGATCCTTGCGGTGCGTATCATCTTCCCCCATCAAGCTTATGGATTGATGATTGATTGGACCAAAACTCTGTAATAACTGATATTTTAGGAAAATTCATCTTGTATGACACTTAGGGCTTCAAGATTGTACACTAGTTTCTCAATGAACATGTTGGTTTAGCTCTTCAGCATGAAATCAGCTCAGTAGATTACCTACCACTGGAAAAGCCTACTAATCAAGAGATTCGAAGAAGTAACATCAGCATTGCAAGATCATAATGAGCCTAGGATGCTTGAAATAAGTGACACTATTGCCAACTGTGGTAAAATAATCTTGTAATTCAAATGAGAATCAATGATGGCTGCACTACTTGTGGCATGAAGGAATTTGCTTGTCTTAATTACAATAGATGTGCTTGAGAAAATACTTGAAGCATTTCTGAAAGTACTGTATTCCATGCCTTTGCAATGCTCTTATTTTGAAGGATTTTGTCTTGAGTTACAAAAAATGATGAGATTCTCTTTTCAGTTGTCAAAGATGTTATTTATCACTTCTATTTTTTGGTCTTCAGGTCTGGTAAGACAACTAATTAATGGCTTATGCTTTGTTTGATTTAGTTTAATCTGTTATAATCATGAATTGGGCAAGGCAATTCTCCGTTGTCTCACCAAGCCTCATACTTTTAATTACATAGCAAAAAAGTCTCTGAGAATCTGAATTCATTGAAAATTGTAGGCAATGCATGGAGTCAATGAGACTATAGGCTGTATGTTCCAATACATCTACTTCCCACCTGCATAATTTTTGTGTAGACCATGAATCTATGATATTGACTTGAAGCCCTAGGTCACTGGCTGAAGTTACTTCAGACTGGGAATAATATGTAGTGGTGGTGTTTTTAGGGTACTTAACCTTCTTTTATTAGATAGCGTGTTAGATTTTTTATGTGGGAAATTGGCATGTACATAAATGGCATGTCCTACCTGTGCACCATTAGGTGTGAAGCTGCATAGAGTAATTTGATATATTGTGGTGGTAATATCAGTCTTCGGGCTTCAGATAAATGGGATGAAATTGTTTTGTCACCAAAGGATGGATTAAAAATTTGACATATCCTTGGTCAAGTTTTAGGTGAACTCCACATTATTGATAATATTTTCTATTATTTTGAGAAAAATATAAAATACTTTCAGTGTGCAGTTATTCGAGGTGTATACCTCCAATTTAAAGGATCTAAGGTGATCTGAGTCACATGAGGGTCATGGGACCTGCATTTGAGTTTTATAGAAGTATTTGAGGTATAAGCATGGGTACTTTGATCAAATTTGTTGCTGTTATTTGTGGACTGGATTCAACTGCGTGTCTTTTAGAATTGATCTTCTTTGAACTACAGGTGGATTATTGTATCACATATCTCTTAGTCTTTCGTATGCTTAGGGATTGAGTTTGAATACTTATTTTGGCAGGTACAAATAGTTATTCTGGAAGTTCTTGTGTGTGACTGGATTAAATAGAGCAGGATGCTTTTTGTGGAAAATAAATGTATGACAGCAACTGGGGTCAAAGTACTTATTATGGAGTTAAATCTAAAGTTTTGAGGTCCTAAGGATGCAAGTAATTGGTCATTGGAGGTTCAAAGAACGATCCATAAAGATAGAATGAAGGGGAAAACCTGAAAAGGAGAAAGAATAGAACTCATTGTCATAGATTAAGATGATGAAGGACGCGTTCCAGCCTGTAAAGATTGAGTCTCTCAGGGATAAGATTACATGATGGACTCTTGTGTAATTGAAACCTGGTGAGAAATCTCAATTGACTTTGTATTAGCTGTAAGGGTAAATAAGCTCAGGCTTATTTAGTGTGGAGGGAGTTTCTGTTGTAGGATAACTAACACCAAGAGTGCAGACAACCAAGACCCTCTATATCCAATAGTTGGCCAAATCAAGTTGCTATGAATAGTTAGAAGGGGGTTATGAATGTTTTGATTTGGCCTCAACCCAGGTAGTTGTAATTGACTTGCGGATTCAAGAGAAACGCCACATTTCTACATTTGGACATACCCTTTTTCTTCTTTTAATATGTGTAAGGACTCATTCAAAGAACAATTGAAACTAATGGCATACCGGACAGAATAGAAAAAAGAAAACAAAATAGGTTTTGAAATGTGGAGGAAACGTCTCTTGTAGGATAACTAACACCCACACCCAAACTCGCCAAGATGCTGGAATTGTTCTCCTTTCTTGGACACCTTTGAGAAGTCTTTTCTAAAGTTTCCTTTAATTGGTACAGTTAGTGGCACATCTGATCATTTTCGAGAAATCATCCTCTGCTAAAAGGGGGCTAAAAAAGGAATCATGCATTGATTCTAATCTCATTAGTTATTGAACTTCTGCTTCCAAAGAACCATATACTCCCGAGGCCTCACATCCCATCCTATTGTTATCTTAAATAGGCCAAGAATGCTGGAACAGGATTGCTAAACAGGCCACCTGCTACCATAAAAGTTAGCCTCACTACCTCCATTTATGGCAGGCTTGTTTCAGGATGAAGTCTCTCCAAAACCAATCGTTCTCCAATTCCTTACCAGTCCACTGCTGCGCCAACTTCCTTCTTTGCTGGTGAAATCCTTGATTTTGCTTTCAAAGAATCCACCTATTGACCAAAATGGTTTGGCAACATTATGATTCCTCCAAATGCCTAGGAATTCGCTGATATACTTAGATTTTTATAGGGATGCAATGCAATCTCTGGATGGCTAGAGAATTGAAGGCCAATGTAACAATAGTGTCTGTGGACTGTTTATGACCCCCAATTTGCTCCATAGGAACTCAACATAAAACAAACTTCAAAATACAAACTGAAGATGTTTCTAAAGGGTGTAGCTTGAAGGCTGAGGGTACTGTTCCTCAAGTAAGGAGAAGCGAAAGAATGTAGGGTTGAAGCGTTCATTTCTGGTCCAGCTAGAATATCTAAGGGACTTTAATGTTGCCCAGACTCCTTAATCACTTAATGTATGATGTCACCCAGCTGATGTCATGCAAGTCAAGCCAAATCCATAACCATGGGGACCAAGAGTTTACATGGGCCCTACCTCATTGGATCAAATTGGCCTTATGGTCTACCTTTTGAATGAATTCACTGTCACTCCTGATACCTGTGAAACCAATATAATAAAGAACAATGAGCGATTGCTTTCTTAATATTTAACTAGACCTTCATTAGAGTTCTGACTAATACATGCTTTGGTTTTTATTCCTTTCCTTTAAGCCATATATATATCGCCCTTATTTCCTGAGGTGCACTTTTTGTAAAACTCATAGAACTAAATCTTGTAGACAGTTTGCATGGCACATTTTTGCCTCTTAAATCCATTTTATTGTGAACCTCATCTTGACCAATCAGGGATAGCTCCTTAACAATTTTCTTTCCAATCCCAATATTACGTCTGGCATTTTGGCTGCAGGGTGGTGACTTGAGATATTGTCAGAAATGTTCTCGTTACAAGCCACCCCGTGCACATCACTGCCGTGTTTGTAGAAGGTGTGTGTTGAGAATGGTATGTGAGAGCCACTGTGCTTTTGCCTCAGGCTGTTAACTTTCTTCTCTGAAGGCCTCTAACAAGTTTTATTGCCATGATCATATACTCATGCAGGACCACCATTGTGTGTGGATAAATAACTGTGTCGGTCATGCAAATTACAAGGTCTTCTTTGTATTTGTGATGTATGCTGTGATGGCATGCATCCATTCCCTGGTATAGATACTTCCTTTGATTCCTTGATGGAAACTTTTATTCCTTGATGGGTTTGTTCCAATGAGGAATATAGCGTATATTATCTTCAAGATTATGATCGTGTTTCAGGTTATATTGGTCTGCAATGCAGTCCATGATTTTCACAAGGATCGGGAGGAGAATGGAGGTTCCTTCAGGACTTCATATGTAAATAGTTCCTTCCCTCCCTGGTCTTTTGAAGATCCATTGACGTGAAACTGCAGCATATGTTTTTACCTGTGTATCTTTTTTCAGATAATCTGTGGAACCATACTGGTTCCCTTAAGCCTGGCATTGAGCATTCTATTGGGCTGGCATGTATACCTCATTTCACATAACAAGACAACTATTGAGGTAATTATATTATTTTGAAGAACTGTGGAGAGCTCTTAGTGTGTCTGCTTCATTGGAAGATTAAGTATAGGAAGTTTGTTCTGTCTTTTTCTTGCAGTACCACGAGGGGGTGAGAGCAATGTGGCTGGCACAGAAAGTGGGAAATATTTATCAGCATCCATATGATCTTGGGGTTTATGAGAACCTTGTGTCTGTAAGTATTCTTCCCTTTTCTAAGTTTAGGTATATGCACACGTGCATGTTTGTGTGTGTGTGCACCTGCAAGCATGTGCATGTGTCTGTATTATGGGCCTTTAAGCTTTCTTGTCCAAATAAGAAAGCATGGTCTTGATAAGCTGAATCGGAACATGGACACAGCATGGTCTTGATAAGCTGAATCGGAACATGGACACAGCTGATTTACTTCTTGTCTGAGATTCAAACTGGCTTGAGTCCAAATGGTTGGTTTCTTTTTCGAAATATTATTTTAGCTGTGTCCCAACTCCTTTTTGTGGTGTGCCTGCATGTAAGTTATATGCCCAACCTTCTTTTGTGATGAACCATGACTGATTATGATTAGAAAAGAAGAATACATTTATTAAGGTGTTGTCAATCCTTAATGATAAAAATAGTTGTGAAGACCTTTTGTTGGTTTCATCTACAGGTACTAGGCCCAAACATTTTTAGTTGGGTGTGCCCAACTTCACATCATATTGGTTCCGGTCTCCGCTTTCGTACTTCTTATGACAGTAATTCATCCCAAGCACAGAGCTGAAAACAGGTGTACGTTATGTTTGATCACACGTGTGGTTCTCTTTTTATGAAGGAACACTAGGCAAGGGGCCTTTAATTCATTCACGCATGGTTTTTGATCATTCACACATGGTTTTTTAACATGGGGGGAATACTAGAAGTTCCACTGTTGCCTTGGACTTGGAAAATTGAGAGGTTCAACGTTGCATCTATCATTAACTTATTGATGCGGGAAGAGAGCCATGGATTTGATGTAAGATGGGTGTATAGGGGCAAGTATATTAAATGTTTGGGGAGAAACACTTTTCCCGAACTTCGTGCATGAGAAAAGATATGAAAAATCTGTTGTTGTAACAGATTCTAGATGTGTGATATTCACGTCTTCATGTGTTCTATAAATGTATATGTACGCATGCATTATTTATGATTGTATACATGCAAATTTAGCAGTGCATTTGGAGGAAAATTGTGTACTATAAGGTTCTGGCTGAGAGCAGTCAATTTACATCATTTTTTAGGCTCTTGAACCAGGCTTTTCCCCACTTATCTTGGAGTTCGAGAGGATGGAAATGCAGTAGAGCATCTAAGCTGGATTGTAAAAAAAGCCCGGGCTTAATTGGTTAGCGCTTGACAAATTGCAAGGCTACATCCTAAGCTCAATTCCTACTGGGTATAGGGGTCCTCTCCCCACTGACTCACCCAAAATTTTTTTTTTTTGGACTTCTTCTTTTCACGGTTTTAATATTTGAGATCAAGGGAGTCGGAATGCAGGCTTTTGTGAAAGGATGGTTTTTCGGTTGGGCCGCACAGGACTTTGTGAGGGTGGGTCCCTATACTTTTCCTACTTAAAGTTTGCACTTACCATGGTGAATCTTGGAGATCAAGAGACTCATGCAAGTTTTGGCAAAATAATGGTTTTTTTAGTGGCGCCGTGCAGGATTTGGTGAGTCCGGGCCTGTCTATAGAGTTTAAGTCTAGGCCTCATAGAAACTTCATCCTAAAACCTTGAAACCTTGGAACTATTGGAACCATACAATCTTAGTACACCATACCTATAATCCACAATCCCTGCAAAATCTACCCCAAAATTACCAAGAAATAACGACTTTGATCGGAATGTGCCCATTTGATCCAGATCCATATTGAACAACACAAAAACCCCAAAAAAATTTTAGTTTCATGACCTAGATAACCTCCGATTGCAACTGGAATATCACGGCCAGACTTAGAATGTTCTTCGAGTTGGTAGGAGGTTAAATTGGCCCAGCCTAAGAGCATGTATACAATGCTCCCTCATGAGGCGTAGTTTACTTCTACTCCCTTAGTCGGTGTATAGAATGCTCTCTCAGAAGCATACTGTACTTCTATTCTCCAAGTATATAGAGTGTCTATTAGGAGCTTTTTTTTATTGAGGTTAATCAATGATTTAAGGAGGTTACATCCCCAAATTTTGGGGTTCTATAGTTAAATATAGGTGGGGTTTTATTAGAGGGAGTAAATGGACAGTATACTCTCGTTGGAGCATAATATCTTTTCGCAAAATAAATTGAATATGTTTTACCTATTCAAATACTCGTTCAAAAGAAAGGCATGGAGGCGATTTCCCTCATACGATGAAATCTTAGGGGAAAATAGTTTGGTAAAACCTCACCTCATAACTCATCCAAAATTATAATTGAAGCATTGGAAAACTATTACATTGATCATCTTGGCTTGAATATTATGATTGTAAAAAAAAATTAGGATTTCAAGATTTAATAATAATATATATTATAACAAATTATCTAGACTGTTTATTTTACCTTAAAATATATGTTCACAGATCGGAAGGATCTATACATTTTCAAAGTTTCTAATTTTATTTTTGGTATTGGGAATTAATTTTAGAGCCATCATGAATATATGCGATGTCGAAAGTGCTTTCGAAACGGAGATTTGAGGTGAGGCTTTATTTTGTTTTCGTAAAGTCTAAGCCCTATAAAAACTGCATCCCTTCGAAGAGAGAATGCTAAACATACTCGAATGAAAATGCCCGCGCACAGTAGGGTAGAAAGCTAGTTGTGGCGAAAAAAGAAGATTCTCCATTGGATAGCTTTATCCACGTCAAAATATGGAATATAAAATTCGTGGAGACGGGTAGTTTCCATATGAGAGAGAAGGTGTTTCGTTTGTTAACCTCGCATCAGACCAGAGAAAAATTAATTGCAGTGCAAATGCTATACGCAGAGGAGACGACAATGAGAGAGAGGAGAGGTGCGCCAGAGGAGAGAGAGATTAATTCTAGAAGCGTTCGCAAACTCGGCCCGTTAAACTTGAACCAGCCGAGTAGATCGGGTTCGATTCCCGACTGGTGCATGTTTACGTAAGATTTTTAATTACTTAAAAACAACTTGGAACCGGTCGAGTAAATCAGGATAGGGCACGGACCAATTCCAGTTTTAGTCTGATTCGGTGATCGGCTAGTATTTAAACAAAATTCACAATAATAAAAAAAAAATCTCAAAAAATAAAGGATTTGTTTGTAATGATTTTTTCAATGTTTTTTTTATCATTCTCGCAAAGATTAGAAAGTTTTTTTCGCCATAAATTATATTTTTTTGTCTTTTTTAAAAGAATTTAAAAATATATATGAAAACAAATTGATTTTTTGAAGAGAAGTTATATAGAGCTGAGGCTCTAAACAATCAAATTTGAGCCTACATCAAAAATTTCACTAGAAGAGGTTGTTTTGATACCCAAATATCTTCAAATTGATCAAATCGACATCAAGATGCAAGAATAAGAGATAAAAGTGGATTTCGAAGTTATGAAAATAGCGTATTTTGTGATGCATTTTACGATCGTCAATTTCAAGACTTTCAAGTATTCATAGATCTGTCAATCTACACTATTTTTGAAGTTTTAAACTTTATAAATAAATATGAAATTATATTTTAAGGCTATCACAAAGATTTCCAATATTGAAACCACATTTCTCGACACTATTTGAAGGTAGGCTCTAATTTGATTGTTTAGAGCCTAGGCTCTATACAAACCGCACCATTTTTTTAAAATCTATTTGTTTTACTAATTTTTAATTTTAAAAAAATTATCACAAATATACCTAAATTTTAACTTAATTGGAAAAAACCCCCAACTTTCATAAACCTTGTCGACATCCTTTTTCCTCATTTTCAGATTTTTTTTTTTTACGAAAATAACATTCACGGTAGTTGTTTTACCGTAATACATATCGCAAGTTATATGGTACTTCAAATACCGTAATAACTTGAAGTAATATTATGATAATTTAAGTATCGTAATACTTACGGTATTCTTTTTTTCGTAAGAAGTTTAATTTTTATTATAGCTATCGAAAGGCCATAATACTTTCGCATGTTATATACCCTAACCCCAAGACATTTTTGCTTTTACGGTTCTGATTTTACTGTGGTATGCCTCTCAACCTCAAGATTTGTGGTGCTCAATATCTCACGGGTCTCTCTCCCTCATTTCCGTTACCTCATCAAATCTTTGTGGTAGAAATTTTTCTCCAAAGTTATGTTGAGGTTGTATGTTTATTTTTTGATTCCACATTTCAAGCCTACCATGTGATGGTGTGCTGATGATTGTATTGTTTCTATATTCTAATATTCTTTTATTTGAACTTGTTCAACATTGTGTTTTTTTTTTTTATATACTTTATTCTAATTTTCTCGCATTCATTTTTCATGTATGCAATGGTTGGGGATTTATATCTTCATCGTTTGAGACAACCAAATTCAAGATATGTACTCACACCTAGGGCTTATGCTCTTTTACGTTTTGTGTAGTAATGACTGTGATGAAACCTACTTGATTCACTTGTACCAAAAGAGTTCAGTCAGCTGTTCGTAAAAACTGTGATTAAACCTATTTGATTCACACATACAATCTTTTTTATCTGTTAATAAGTAGAATATTTCTATTCCAACTTCTGAACCAATGATATTCACTAGAGATATTGACTCATCCAATTCATAAATTGAATAAAATGAGTGATATGATAATTTAAATGTGAGTCCCAATTTGAATGCAAATTATGATCCAGTAACAACTTTAATGAGTTCTACATTTTCAAATCATGTTGATTAAAAGATGTTGCATATTAATATACTTCTTCTAAATTGGATCCAAAGAAAATTTGAATGTTAAACAATATTGTAGCTAAAATTTGATCAGGTTTGCAAGCATGCAAAATTGTTGCTTATCCTTGGTCAGATGTCTGATAGACTAATAGTTCTTTTTTATATTGTTTTTTTACTTTGAATGTCAATGGTCAGGTGTTTGATAGACTAATAGTAGTCTATTAACCATGAGTTTGTTGATTATGATGGTTTTCTTAACAGGAATCGTGGCAGAAGATGCACCCTTCCCTAGAGGTTTTGAGATTTCGACATTGCTAAATAGACAAAGAGAACATATATCACATAAGATTTAGGAAGGAGATGTATGTACAATTGTTTCAAATTATGTTTTTTATCTATCATGTTAATTAATCAATTTATTTATTTTAATATATGAAATCACAAACTCCATTTCATGATCGGAAAAATCCCCTCAGAGTTGATGAGAAGCCCAATGCAGCTTCTTTGTGGCTTTTAACAAACAATGATCAAATCGATGATCAAGATCGTAACCTCTGACCATGGTATGGATGACTCACCACGACTGTGACACATTATCTACTATTATCGAGAGGTGATGCGTAGAGACAAACATCGGACACTTCAATATAGACGTCAGAGAGATGATGCATACTCTTGAAGATGCATAGAAAATTCTTCGGTTAAAGGTGACTGGTATAGTTGTAACGTTGCGGAGAGTAGAGAACTACAGGGATTATATAATCTGCATGATAGGACAGCTGCCACCTGGTCGTATGCATTCTATTATCTGGTTGACATGGTTGATGAGCACTTTTAAGTGGCTGCCACCTAACTATAATTGCACCACCCTTCTACGATACACTCGTGCCTGCCTCCTATATCTAGTCGGCTACATAATATTTGTGGATTCCAAAGATGGTATAGTGCCTACTATATATTTACAACTTTTTTAGGATATGGAAGTAGCTGGTCAGTATGCATGGGGTGCAACTGCCCTAGCTTTTTTGTTTCGGGGCTTGTCAAAAGTTGTTCATCCTGGTCATCAACACCTAAGTGGATCAACCACTATTTTATTGGCAATACTAATATATTAATGTTTTGATAATTTTTTTAAAAGTTTGATAGATATTTTTTGTTGTAATTCTAATTGTTATATATATGCATTTCAGTGCTGGGCATACGAGCACTTCAAATTATTGCATCCAATTACTAAAGAAATAAAGGCAGTGTAACCTGAATCCCTCAAGTGGGCCCCTCACAAAGAATGGGATAACGCTCACAACTTCAGTCTCGAGGGGCGACAGGAGATTGATAACACGTGGATAAATGATGTTAGTATAGAATATTTATCATTGATTTTATTTATTTATATTTTAATTAATATTTGGTGCAAGTTATTTAACTTAAAATTTGTCATTTTTTTGTTATGGGTGATATGAACCCCATACGATGATTATCATGACTTCGGAGAATAAATTAAAAACGATAGAGATTATGGGCCTGTTGTCCGTCAGACTGCTTTGTATCACACATACCTCATATGTGTACATGTCAGATCATGTACTCCGGCAGTTTGGACTTCACCAAGCGATGCCGACTGATCCCTTGCAGTGGGAGAGGAAGGAGAGAAGGGAGAAGATGACTGACAACTAGCCAGATAAGCTTCGAAGTAAAATTGATATATGGACGAATAAGTTAAATTATATTTGTTAGATAGATGAAGATATGTTCAATGGGAAGCCGACACAAGAATACATTTAGTGGTACAAGCTAATGAATCCATAATCCATTTAGAAAACGTCACTCTAAATATACACCTCGAGGTTATAATGATGAAGATACAATGATAATAATATTTGAGAACCATTGTTGTTTTATTCACGACATTTTAATTATAGAAGTCTCAACAATCTATTTCCATAATTTAATGCAACCTAGGGACATCAACCATGCAGCTCAACTTGTACGTGAAGGTTATCATTCAAGGAATTGGGACCTAGTTGGGGAAACATTAGAATTGCTGAAAATTTATGACCTAGAAGCTGCAGGGGATGAGGATGCATACGAGGAATTGGAGTTGGATGATGAGATGGAAGATAACGTACCACCAGTATGACTTCCTTCTCGACCAGATGAAGGGCCAAGTAATACACAACTCATCCTCACACCGATTCAACCAGAGGAGCCTCAATAATAGTTTTGTCCTCGTGTGGTAAGACGGGAGGAGAGCAATTCAAATACAGAATTACAGTTGTCACAGTGGGCTGAGAAGTTACCAGTACGAGGAAAGCATTCATGATAATATGTTTTTTTGTTGTAAAGGGGCCAGTAGTGCCTATACTGTTTTTTTGTGATATGTGTGATATTTATTAAAGTTGAAATATCAATATTTTGTGTTATTTGTATATTTGTGTTTTATTGGAATAATAACCTATGATAGCTTGGACGTGTCACCAACGATAATTCGTTTTATTTTAATATCTCATAACTTTACATGTGGATTGATTGGATATATGGATGATATGCACTACTCCACCAGTTTTCATTATTTGTCTTTGTCTTGTATCATTGGAAAGCAAAAAGCCATCATTGTATCATTGTGTTCAACCAAATGCAGATGTTTAGGATATATGCATACGTAAAATGGTTGGTACCAAAGTTTAATGAAATGTGTATAGCTTATATGTGATAAGACAGAGCAATACAGTCTTTTGGGTACCGTAATGCTTTAACAATTCTTTACAGTAAAAGAATTATCGTAACACTTATTATGGTAATTTTTTTACCGTAAAGATGTCCATGAGCATTACGGTATCCAAAAGACCGTAATGCTCTAAAACCCTCTGGTGGAGTTTTGGAGCTTACAGTCTTTTGGGTACCGTAATGCTCTAACAATTCTTTACGGTAAAAGAATTACCATAACACTTATTATAGTAATTTTTTTTACCATAAATATGTTCAAGAGCATTACGGTATCCAAAAGACTGTAATGCTCCAAAACCCTCAGGAATAGATGTGGTGTTTTGGAGCATTACGACCTTTTGCGTACTGTAATGTTCTAACAATTCTTTATGGTAACAGAATTACCGCAAATTACGATAATTTTTTTACGGTAAAGATGTCCAAGGGCGGTAACCAAAAGACCATGATGCTCTAAAACCCTATGGAACAGTTGTGGAGTTTTAGAGCATTACGTCCGTTTGGGTATTGTAATGCTCTAACAATTCTTTATGGTAAAACAATTACCGTAATAGTTATTGCGATAATTGTTTTACCGTGAAGACGTCCAAGATCATTATAGTATCCAAAAGACTGTAATGCACTAAAACCCTCTGGAATAGTTGTGGAGTTTTAAACATTATGGCCTTTTGGGTACCGTAATGCTCTAACAATTCTTTACTGTAAAAGAATTACCGTAAATATGTCCATGAGCATTACAATACCCACATTTTATTTTACATTTTTAGCGTAAATATGTCAATTTTATTTTCACATTTATTTCTTAAAAAATATGAAATCACATACTACATTACATTAAGTCCACTTCTATAAACAATCACATATACCACATTACATAAAAATTGAACCTAAGTGATCTAAACAACACATAGAATTGAATAAGCTTGATCACATACTTTTTAAAAATTGAACAAGCACTCATCAAAATCAACAACTTTAGATATTTCATTGATTGAACCAAAAAGTCATATCAGCACGCACTGGCCTCTTTACAAATTCAAAAAAAAGATGAACTGGCAATAATGACCTCTTTACATTATGTCATATACTTGATTTACATGTCTTCCGGTTATGACCCACGACCTCGCATCGGCTACACTTAAGATGCCTAATCTTTTTGTATTTTGTTTGTCTACGTCGTTTTTTTGACTGACCTACGGTTCGCCTTGCAGTTGGCGGCATTACTGTTGTATAGACAATATTTGACAACTCTAGTGCATCAGGCATTAGGTTGAAGGGAAGGGAATATGGTATATAGTACATTTCAACTGTGAAATAAACATCATAAAACTCTATAATATTTTGATGCCTATGATCTACAGCGACGATCGCTTGACTGCACAACAACCCAGTAGCCTACCACACCCGACAACTGCATATATGTGTTGCCAGATTAACAACATATTTCTTATTCGCATTGATCTCATACATATCACCATGTGCCCATATAACAGTATGAAGGAATCTGGACTTATCTCTCCTCATGTCTATTACCTCTTGGGCCTTCGGTGTAAGCACGCCACGCCATTCTAGGGACATGGTCATCTTCTTTGAAAATGTTCCCATGAGCTTAACCCTTAATTTTCACTCTGTTGTCACCCATTATTGTTGTATAGAAATTTCAGATGGAAACAAATATAAAATATGGTTGAGAAGTTTCAAAATACTTATATATAATGAGGATGTTGCATTATAAAGGGACATTAGATTGCATATAGATGTCACAATCTAAATAAAATTACAATGGCCAACCCCACTACATAAAGTACTATAGAAAAACAATATTTTGATGACCAACCATTAAATAAATCTAAAACTTATTTATGCAACAATATAAATAAATCTAAAACTTATTTTTGTCAAAAACAAAAAAATAAAAAATGAGGAAAAATGATGTAGACGTGGTTTATGAAAGTTGGTTTTTTTTTTCGATTAAGCTAAAATTTAGGTATATTTGTGAATGTTATTTTTACCCAAAAAAAAAAAGAGCTAATAGTGAGGAAAAAAATGTAGATGAAATTTATGAAAATTGGGTTTTTTTTTTTTTAATTAAACTAAAATTTAGATATATTTGTGATAATTTCTCTTAATTTTATTTGGATGTGCTTTAGTTAACCATACGTTAAATATACTTTTCACGGTGTTTTACATTTTTCTGATATTTTCTTAATTGTTTTCTGCGACTCACCCGATTGAACTGGATAATTTATCGGTCTTTCGGAACGGAGGCCGGTTTTTGGAACTCGGAATTGGAGCGACATGGGAAGTGAAGCAGAGAGGATAACGATGATAGGTAGTGGGTCAGAGGCGACGAATGGATAGTGGTCCAGTGGACGAGTAAAGATATGGTTATATAGGCCCAAGTCCGAACATGACATAACCACGTGCAGATAGAGATGGGGAGAAGAGAGGGGGCATGGTTATTCGATATGGGAGGAGAGAGAGAGAGATATGAGTAGACAGCAAACCTGGACTGACTCACGTGGAGTACTGCTATGTCAGCATTTACATAGATGAAATATATGTTTCCCATTTTTTGTTGGGTTTGGTGATCTCTCGAAAATGGGTCCAGAAGGAAGAGGAAGCTGAGCTTAAGCACTGATTTCCAGTAAAAATGGAGGAATACAAGGAGAACCCAACTCATTTTTACAGGTATTTTTCTTGCGTTTTAATTTTCGTCCATTTATAAAAAAATCCGTTGTTTCCTTCCTTTTTCGTCTTTGATCTCTTTATTTTCCGTTTATATTTCCTAGAATAAACTACAATATGAGGCCCTTTCTTTTGAAGATAGCTCTGAATCATTATATGGCGTTCTTAATGTTCCTCCTTTTCATTTTCCTATTTTCGTAATTTTTCTGTATTTTGGGTTTTCAGGGTTTACTGGTACTACTAGAAACTCATTCATTTTTACCAAAAAACCAAAACTCATCCTGTAAATCTCGTATAATTGCAGAAAGAAATCAAATGCCCTAATTTTGATTGTGCAACATAAATAAAAATGAGGCCTTAGTACATGTTGCATGATTCGTGAGTGTTGCTCAAAAGTGGAATGTTAATTATCATTTTTGCTATTTGCTTGGGATTTGATGTGCTTTGAGGGACAGATTCAGTATTCTTGAGTCTTGATTTCCCCTTAGAAACTGGGCTTTTGAGCTTAATATTTGGTTTTGTTTTTAATTCTTATATACTGGAGTTTGAATGCAGTATGCATATGTATTATACCCTTGCTTTTCCACTAATAGGACATCTAAGCCAATCCATAACAGACTGGCTGCTTTAAGGCAAGGTCATTAAATAGGGGTAACATAATTTCTTATTTAAATTAGAAATTTAGTACCATCTGGATTACCATTTGTGGAAAGGATCAGTACTCCATTGGAAAAGATTATACATTTTAAGTCCAAGCTTTATTTCCATCGAGAATCAAACTTCAAACAAAGTTAGACCAGGCGTTGTTAAAAAAAAAAAAAAGTCGAATTATCTGAACAAATTCACATAAAATTCCTTAAACATGAGTGATCTCGAGGTAAATAGTTCTGAAGTGATCTGAGCAAAATCCATTTTAAAATTGAGTTGCTGAACTGATTAAATTAAGTATCATTTCTGAGATGACTCATAATTTAGGTTGCTCCACAAGGGTTGTAGTGTGCTTCCTTTTTTGGAGTTTTAGTATTTGCATTTCTACTACCAGTCCATACTTTCAACTTATAAATTCTTTTGAGGTTTGTCATATGAAATCAATTGGAGCCAACGTTGTTCTTCCTAAGGAAAGAGGGATTGTATGTCTAGGGGGATAGTAACTTATTTGTAGACGAAACCTAAATTATGATCTTGACAGGTTACCTTGGTGGGCTTCTGCACTCTATGAAGGTCTTTCTTCTTTTGGGTGAATTGGCTTGGTCTGCAAGATAATTATGAACTTAAGACTTCCCTCGCTGCATAGCATTTGTCTTATTGTGGAGCCATAGCCTTGGTTGACTTTACATGTATCCATTTTGATGTCTCTGTTCATATAAGACCTTAACTATGAAAAGAAGATTATACATAAGGTTTTTCTTTTTTGGGTGAAGTATCGATACGATCTAGTAGGGAAAGTTTCAAGTCTTTTAAGAATTTCTCATTAGTAAATTGAGGGTAACTAACCATAGCCGTAATTAATAACAAACTCCTGGCAATTTTGTGTTGATATTTAATGATGGGCACAATGTGAATGACTTTATCACAATTTTTTTTTCAAAATTGTAATTGTCCTTTAAAAATATGTTCATTGTGTCTCTCTGGTTCCATTGTCCTTGAGCAGTACTCTTTGAGTGAAATAATGACCCTTTGAAGTAATTAGAACTTATAGCATGTCTTATGTGACATGCATATTTACTGGATCATGTAGAAATTACTTACAAAAGAAATTCTGCAGAATCATTTAGAAATGTAATATAGTTAGTAAAATAAGTAAAAGGTGATGATGTATACCCTAAACATCACTATGAAAATCCTAAACATCACTACAAAAATTCTTTAACAATTTATAATTAACTGTAGAGGAAAGGGGTGCCTTCATTTTCTTGAATTATTTGCGTACTTGTTAATGCCCTATAACTAAAAGGGTTTGGGCATCATAGCTCTGGTGCTACAGTTAGGTGTTAAAGAGTGAGGGAGGGAGAGAGAAAACTTTGGTGAACTTTATTGAACACATTCTAGACTTTGTTACCACCTCAAATATCGCAACCAGAACCCTGATATATTCAAAACTGATGGTTGATAGAACCCATTTACTACTAGATCTGATACAAATAAGGGTTTTAATAAGGGTTTTAATGTGTAGTTGTCAGAAGAAAGACGATTTTATTGCGCACTCAGAAGCTGATAGGAAGGACTGGTCTTTCTTGTCCAAGAATGAATAATTCTAAAGTTGCAAGGAGTGGATTGACCTTTTATTCATAGCTTCTGTGCATTTATTGTATTATTCTTAATATTTTGTATGGACAATGCATTAAGAGGTCCTCGTCAAGTATCCATAGGTATACTATCACCAGACCACGTTGGGAATCACATATTAGATATCACAAAAATCCCATGCCCCTTCTCTCATGGCAATTGCTCTTTGGTGATAGGTTTTTTGGCCATTTGCACGTTTGAGTATATCAATTACATCATTAACGATTCTCCATCTCCTCTCCCACCTCTCTCTCTCTCTCTCTCTCTCTCTCTCTCTCTCTCTCTCTACTACTACTACTTACTTACTTCTACTACTACTACTACTACTACTACTACTACTACTCTACTCTACTACTACTACTACTACACTACGTACTACGTACTACGTACCTAC